GACATCACCCTGAGAGAGTTTGGACTTTGAGTCGCCGGTGTTGCTGACAGTGGGTGTGTTTTTATTCGTTTGGAGGATGGTTTCATCATGGCAGAGATGAGACTGTCACTGCCACCATAGCCTGAAAACTTACGTGATAGATTAATACACGTAAAGCACTGGAAACGGTGTCTGGAACGTAGTGTTAGCTGTTACTGCACATTAAAAGCATACATACAGATGTGCAGTAGCCGAACGGAGGACGGTGCTGGATTCTGTGGCTTGGCTCCTCACCAGCCTTCATCTAGTGAGCCTCCTTCTGCTGTGCACACCAGAGAATGAAAACCTGCACTTCCCTGGCTCCTTTTGGAACTAGCGTTGTGGGTGTGGTTCAGGTTTGGTGGGCTAATTGCACTTGCCTGTGAATCGGAAGGCAAAATGAGGTGAAGTCAGCTTCTGGCTGTTCTTTCTGCAAGTCGCAGGGGCTCGCATTTCCAGAGTGTGTGAGTGTGATGAGAGGCAGGGTGCGTGCAGTGGTGCGCTGGGCCACTTTGGCCCTGCTGGTGACAGCAGCTCAGCAGCATCTCCGAGCAGCTCGGCATTCAGAGACGTCATGGCGGTAGCTTGAAATCGGCTGTGGTGGGAGTGTGTGTGTGCATACACCAGGGCCATCAGCAAGTGCTACAGTCAGGGTTCACCCTGCCTCTGGAGAGGTCACTGTTAAAGGTGCAGCATCCTCCCCAGTGGCCCGTGCAAATCTCGTGGCTGCAGTGTGGCTCTGGAACCCAAACACTTCCTGATACTTGGACCATAGCAAGGGGTATGTGTTCCTGGAACGGGCAGTGGATCAGCAGCTTCCTGAATCTGTCCCTTCCTTGTGACCTGAGCACCGGCTCCCCAAGCAGGTCATTACTGTGGTGTTCTGGGTCACTCCCAGAGCCTCAGCCTACATTCCATTCTCCCAGCCCTTCGTTTGTTTTGTAAGCTCCTGTTTTTCTGTGTTAAACTCCCTGGGTAAAACTCACCAGAGAGGTTTGAGATATCTGGGAATGAATCATGACTGATACTTGAGGACACCCCAAATAATTCTAAGATGCCTGCATCTACCCCTGCAGCTCTAGCCAGGGCACCAGCAGGAAACAAGTGGGAACCTTTTGAAGTATTTAACTGAGGAGTGCTTAATGAAAAGACCATCTAGAGGGGTGTGAGCAGGCAGGGCCAAGGGGCCAAGAAGCAGTGGTGAGTGGGAGTTGCCTCGTGTGGGCTCCGGAGAGCTGAGAGTTAAATCATCAGAACTTTGGGAGCTGGATGTGCACTGGAGCCAATAAGAGAGGCTTCTTTTACTTTATTCTCTGAACCACTCTATTGAGTTATGTTTAACAGGTAAAAAGCTGTGCACATTTCATGTATGCACGTCTATGAGGCTGGGGAGAAGCCCACACCTGGGCAACCCTCACCACCATCAAGGCCATAGACATACCTTCAACCAAAGTTTCCTCCCACCCTTTTATTATGTTTTTGTGTATGTGTGGGAAGAATACTTATCATCACACTTAACGTAGCCAATTTTAAGAACCCAATTCAGTATTGTTGACCGGAGGCACGGTGCTATACAGTGATCTGCAGAAGTCATTTATTTGCATAATAATTCAAATTTCAATGATATGAACTTACGATGAAATGAATTAGACTTTCAAAAGGTAAAACCCTTCATTTTCTAGTACTGTGCTACATGTTACTGTCACCCATGCTCTCGCTGTTAATTTTGCCTATTGCAACTGTATGGTGGAAAACTCTACAAAGGCGAGCCAGTCTCTCTGCAACACTGTTCCGCGATGTCCGCTGGTGGCTTGAAATTGGCCAGGGTTAGAATATTGACACCACAGAAACTGGCAAATGCTACAAATCAGGCCTCGGCTTATTGTTTCGTCGATGGCCTAGCTTAAGCAAGTGATGGAGGAAATGTTACTAATAAGATGAGCTGTACCGAAAAGACGAGCTGTGTCATCCATCTGTGGCTGCTCCAGTGTGAGTAGCATAAACATTTGGGGGAAATGCTTCTGCCACAATCTAAGACTATTATTTGACTCAGAAAAGAAGTTGCGTATGTCGCTGATGGGTGTGTGTCTGTGTTGTTTCCTTTCTGCCTCACTCATTGATTAACGTGAATGAAGATCTCAAGCAACGTTTGAGTTCAGGGTTTGGCAAACGCCAACTAAAACAATCTGTGAGAATCCATGAAGTCTATAAAATTTACAAGGAAGAGATCGTTCTATTTGATTATTATTTGTAAACTGTGTACTACACATTCTTTGTGAGTGAGAATTATAACAGAGTTAGAATTAGAGTAAACCTATTTGCACATGTATATGCATGCTTTTCAATCCCACCACCCTCCCCACACCACAGGGAACAAGCTGTCGACCATTTGCCAGCATGCCACAGCTACCAAGGGATGGTCAGGCTCCAAGGGAAGCCACCTTCTCTATAGCAATCCTGGGCCTAAATGTAGGGGCCCAGGATTGCTACTGCATCCTGGTGAGAGCTGAGGAATGCAGCCCCTCCCAGAGCTGCAGGGAGCCTCAGAGGATGAGTGTTAGGGGAGGGGGCTACAAATGCCCTTGGTTCTCACTCCCCCCACCCTCTGGTCTCTTGCCAGCGGCCTCCATTGGCTGAGCCCAACTGGCAGCCTGAAGAAGGGCGCTTCCTGAGTGGTGCCATCCATGTGGGGCAGCCTCTGAGGCACAGAGCAGAGCTGGGTAAGGGCAGTAACCAGAACAGCAGGTAGAAGGGCGGTTCAGAAGTAGCAGAGAGGAGCCTAGACGTGGCCTGTGTCACCTCCTGGGCTGAGGTGTGACAGGTGGGGCCTGGCACAGGAGCATGAGCAGTCAACACCACCAGTGAGGCCAGCTGGGGAAGCACTGTCCTCCAGGCAGGGAGCCCAAGGACGGGAAGGGGGCACTCTGAGGCGAAGTTGAGAAAGTGGAATGACACTCACCAGAGGCTTTGACCTCCGTAGCTGCTTTGATTCCTGCAGCTTAATGAGGGCATTTGTGAAGCCAGAAAAGAAACCAGTGTTTGGGCTGCCTGTCACTACCAAATCCAATAAGCAATGACATTACTTGAATTTTTATGGGCACTTGATTCAGATGGCTAGCAATCTGAGAAGATGGTGGGTTCATACCCTAACAGACCATCTTCCCTTCTTATTCCAGGCTAGACTTTTTATAATGGGGAATAAACAAGGTGCAGTGAGGGCCTTGAGGTTCAGGGAGGGTTTGGTGAAAGAAGCTGCAACATTCCTGTCCTGGGCAGTTAGCTGTTCCCAGGGGCAGGTCGTCATCTGTCTCTCCCTAGAAGACAAAGGCCCGGATGCCTCCAGTTGTTCCCAGGCGGTAATCTCTAGCCAGTGCCCCAGGAGGTGGGCTGGACCAGCCTTATCTGTAGTTTCTGAAACAATAGCTTTAACATATGCATTACTTGCTAGGCTTATAACTTTTTACCTGAAGCTAAAATTTTCCAACTCTTGAGTCCCCTATCATTTAGAGTTGAGTTGCTTTAAAGAATTTTTGATCACAAAATCTTAGTTTACTGCCTCTGTCCTGTGCCTCAGCTGGGAATACCTGTGAGACCTTGGGTCCTCCTCTGTCATACCCATCAGAACAGCTAGCATGGATTGTCAGTCGGTACAGACATTGTTTCTATGTTTGGTCACCTCAATCCTTGGCTCCCTGTTAAAAATATCCACGTTCCCTCTGGCAATGGGCGAGGACACACCTGGCTGGTGCTGTTGCTCTTGTATCAGTCAGGGGCAAAGCAGTTGTACAGTCCTTAGATCATCCTGGCTTGTTGCTTGTTGCCTGTGTTGGTGGCCAGAGCTGGTTCATGCCTGGGGCACATAACAAAAGTATTCACGTAAACACAGACGGAGTCAGTGAGGTGCACCCTGCTACTATGCACTGAACGTACAAGTCCTCTCTTCCGCATAATTGGAATACATTGAAGCCCTGACCCCGGGCAAATAGTGTTTGAAAATGGGGCTTAGATGAGGCCATGAAGGCAGGGCCTGCACGATGGGATGACGCCCAGCCATGAAGACACTGCCCACTACTGACCTCCCAATTTCGGGGAGAACCCTTTTCTTGGAAGTCATATGCTTCCCCTGATGTTTTTGCACCGTCTTTGGTTTTATGTGGGGGAGGTTGGGAGGCGGTAGCCCTTACTGCCTGCCTGCAGCAGCATGGTTTGGGAGCTGCTGTCAAGGCCGTGGGGGTGGAAAGTTCTAGTTAATCTCTTGGGAGTGTCTCCGTGGGCACTTGGGCACTTTCAGAGCCCATGCTCAGGGGAAGTGAGTTAGTTTCTCAGTTGGCCGGAGGGAACTGGCTGCTTGGCGGACAGGAGCTCATTGGTACGTTTTTCAGAAACACTAATAATTCTCAGAATCCCAGAAGTTTGAGGCTGGCAGAGACATTTTAATAAGACCATTTTCCCCCAGCATGCCACCCGCCACTCACTGTTTACTAATAGACACACACAGGGCCCACTGGGACACGGACCATTTCTTTCCCTCGGGCACGCCTCTCTAAGTCCTAGCCATGGTGGCCCTCCAAGGCTACACTGCCCACGTCTTGACCCTGTTTCCCCAGCCACATCCACCCTATTTTTCTTCTCCCCTTCATCTGAACCTCCTCTGCCACTCAACACCCCAGGTTCTCTCAGAACAATCTCTCTCTTCCAGGATGGGCGTGGCCTGTGGGGCCTCAGGCAAGGGGGGCGGGGCTTCATGAGCGCACCTCGTGCCTCCCTCAAAACAGGGTCTCCCCAGGGACCCCAGCTGGACAGACTGTGTGGTAAGTGTGGCTTGGCGGGAACCAATCCCCTGCCAGGAGTCTCCCCACAAGTTCTGTGTGCGCAGGCGCCACCTCTGGTGAGGAGGGTGGGCGGGGTTTTGTGGGAGGGTCTGGTGGCTCACCCTTGAGAGGAACGTGTGTGTTTTGGTCTGTGGTGGGCACAGGAAGGCCATGCAGGCCCCCGGCCGCGATGATGACGAAGGCTCGGACAGCATGGTGACAGGTGCAGAATCTCCCAGTGGCCCAGGGGACTCCATGGGCCCTGGAGACGCGGACAGCACCGGAGCCGAAAGCGCTGCAGCCGGGAAGATCCCCAGGTCGACAGAGCATCACTGGACTCAGGGCCGGCTGGAGAAGCCTCTGACTCTGACGGAGACCTGGGAAGTGAGGTACTGGAGTTGTATCCTTTTTGAGGAGCTCCGTCCCTCGCGCCATGGAGGTAAAGGGAGAGGGGTGGGCAGGAGGTGAGGGGATGCAGAAGGATGGGCGGGAGAGGCTTCGGGTCCTCGTGGCAGCGGGGTGGACTTCTGGTGGGACGGAAGGGGATTATGGGGACCCAGGGTCGCTGGGAGAAGCAGCTGCGGTGGCCTGGAGACATGGCGGGGTGGCCCGAGGAGGACTGTGGTGCAGAGTTCCTTTAAGGGTCATCCCGGAGCGTCTTGGGTGTCCTGAGGGTGAGGGACAACCTGGCAGAAGACTGGCTTCTGACAGGTAAGGGGGCCTGAATCAGAAAGCCCGTGTAGATGGTGCCTTTACCTTAACTCCACCAGCACCCTCACGGTGCCCTTCCTGTCTAACGTGGATGCCGAGGTGGCCCTCAGGTTCCTGTTGCCAGGTGCTGACCTCTACCGTGGGATGGTTCTTTGGGAGCTCTCGGTGACTGGCAGTGAGCTCTTTATGTAAGTACTTGAAGGGCCTGAGTCAGAGTAGCAGCAGGAGACGGGGCCAATCTCTGCTTGAGGGTCGCTCCATTGGAGAGGTGGAGACATCAAAGGGTCGGTCTAACTACGGAGGGCGGGGGGAGGGGGGCACCGGGTGTGCCCCAGACTGAGGACCTCCCCAGTGAGGGAATAGGTCTTAATTGACACGGGGAGGGGGAGGGGTTGGAGTGAGGAGGGCCAGGAGTTAGCACCTCTGAAGTGATTTTCTTTTCCCCTCACTCTTAGCCGATTAACTTCCGAAGATGCTGAGCTCCTGCAAATTTCCACTTTCTCCTTGCTCATCCGGCTCTTCATCGTGAGGCATGTCATGCAGCACCTTGTGTTCCCGGGTTTTCGCTAACTTTCAGTACAGAAGAGCAGATTGAAGCCACAGGAGTGTCTGACCCTAGGCGGTGCATCCATCCCTAAGGCCATGATTTCTGCAGTAGTTGCGACTTTACTTGGAGGGAACGGGGCTGATTGTTTGCCTGTACTGGCTCTTGGGTGCTCTCACTCTCTTCTTTGGATTGGTGCCTGAAATATTCCCTCCTGCAGATAATAAAGCTGAGCTAAAGTTTTGTGTCTGAGTTTCTTTTCAGCATCCAGATTTTCTTGATTTTGTCCTTGGGTGGGAGGGGAGAGGTTCTGGGGTTCAAATATTCAAGTAGTACAGGCAACTGAATACAAATTAGGAAACTAAAAGAAAATGAAAATTACTTGCTACTTCTCCTTCAGCATTAACTGCCATCAGCATTTTGGAGTACTTTTATAGAGGTGTGTGTCTATGTTAATGTGTAATAGTCGTGTAAACAAGCAAGGCTTATCAGGTTAACATTAGCGGTTTTTTCCCCCTGAGATGTCCCCATCGAATATCTGGGCCTTACGTCTGTCGAAAAACTCTTTGAAAACATCTTACTGAATGGAGGCATAGAAGATGCATTATACATAGATGCATTATATGCAGAATGCACAGATGCATTATGTCATCGCTCAACACTTAAATCTTTCTCATTTTCCCCTAGCATACATAATGTTTTACTGCAATCTTTGTTTACAAGTCTCTGCCTGATTGGCTGTTTCCTTAAGGTAGATTCCCAGAGGGACATCTATAATACAAAACTGCTCTCCAGGAAACGTGCCCACCCCCACAAGAATGCTGGTTTCCCCACACTCTGGTCACTGCTGTATGTGTTTCCTGCTGCAATACTAATAATGACAATGCCAAATTAAATTTAAAATAAAAAAATTAAAAGCACTCAGTTTGCATGAACAGAGCAAGGAAACCAGAAAGACTGGAATATGAACTTCTTGCTTTACTGTCCTTGTTTCAGGTCAGAGGAGAAGAGTGCTGGGACAACTGGTTAAGAGCTTGGAGGGGGGGAGGGGGAGGGGACAGCATAGTGTAGTCTTGGGGAAATACAATTAAAAAGAGAGTCATCTGTGCACAGGCAATCTGATATGTACTTTGCCTACATCATTACATATCATTCTCACAACAATGCAGTGAGCTAAGCACTAACATACCTTTTATGGGTGAAGAATTGCAGATCAGACAAGCTAAGCAACTTTCTCAAGGTCACTGAGCTAGGAAGTGGCAGAGGCCTGATTTGAATGTAGGTCTGTTTGATTCGAGCACCCAGTGTCTTAGCCGTGGTATCATACCAACCTCAGCACTGCGGCGTGGAGCCACGAGGAGGCTGGGATGGTGCTTTTCCTCCCGATGGCTCCGGGGAACATCCACGTGGCTAATGAAAGATGCAGAAATGGACCAATGCCGGAAAAGTAGAAGAGGAAAGAAGGTTGGTAAGAAACCCAGTCCTGGCTTTCCAGGGGCTCCCTGTACTCCCAGATCCTTTTACATGTTGAAACCTTATTTGACCCTCTTCGAAATGGACGTACACTGGTGCTACCCGTTGGCCTGCTCCCCTGGCCTCACTCCTCACCTACAAAGAGGGCTCTTTTCAGGTCCTTTCAGGGCAGAAGAACACAATCTGCTGCCCACCCAGAAAACGTCTCCATGAAAGTAGAAGAAAAACAGCCTTATTGTTGAGTAACCATTGCACCAGAACGTGGTGTACATACATCACAGGCAATCTGCATTAGAGATTCCAAAGACAGAAAGCAGTCTAACCCCCTTTGCACAGCCAAGCAGCTGTAACTCATTACACACACGTTGTCAAGGTGTCCGGAACCGGTCCTCAGGTAAGAGGACTTGACACCAGCAGGCCTCACACGTACTTCATCCTAGGTTTACCTGGTAGCCGGGGTGACCATATGCATTAGTTCACCGGTACCTTGGACTGAATGCGTGGGTCCCCTCCACACCTCAAATTCATATATTGAAGCCCTCCGAGTTTCCATCATCAACTTTCTTGACCAGCTTTCCCCGGTGATGGGGACCATGCAGCGCTTTGGGCCCCCTCTTTCCCGCCAAACCTGGGCTGGGAAAAGGGGGCTGAGGCCCAACCTTGTATCCGGCCCTAGACAGTGGACCCTTGCCACAGCAGGGATTCCTGCAGTAGGTGCCACTTTCCTATGGGGCCCTAATCTTCTGCCTGCACTGGCCCTTGGGCACTTGCGGGCCACTCGTTTTGTTTAGCGCTTCAGTGTTTGTCTCTGCAGCAAATACAACTGAGCTACTATTCCATTTGAGTTTCTTTTCAACTGCAGCACCTCTTAACAGGCTTGGCTTTGTCTCAGGCTGGGAGGGGAGGTCTGGGAATCGTACTCAAGCACTACAAGGTAACCGAAGACAATTTAGGAAGTGGAAGATGGGTCTTGTCCCTCAGTATTAACTACTGTGAACATTTTAGAATCATTCCTTAGTTTTATAGCTGTATTTATATAGTCAATGTATAACAATAACGTAATGTATAACAAATTGTTGCGAGCTTAACATTTTTACTAAAACTTTTCATGTAACATGAACTTTTCCTTTTTTCTAAAACTTCTTCAAACACATTATCTTTTTTAAGGATTTCATTTATTCATTTCTAAAGGGGGGGGGAGAGAAACGTCAATCTGTTATCTCTCACACACCCGCCACCCGGCCTCTGGCACACAAAGCACACACGTGCCCTGACTGGGAATCGAACTGGCGACCCTTCGATTCCCACAGGTCTGCACTCAACCCACTGAGCCACACCAGCCAGGGCTTCAAATGCATTATTGAATGGAGGCATAACAGGCACTTTACAATGTAATTATTGACCATTTAAATTAGTTTCCATTTTTGTCCTATTACAGGATTCAGAGGAATTCTCATGAATAAATGTTTGCGTGAATGAATATGTCCTTAAGACAGACTCCCAGAGGCCCTGGCCAGTGTGGCTCAGTAGGTTGGAGTGTTGTCCCGTACACCAAAAGGTTGCAGGTTTGATTCCCGGTCAGGGCACATACCTAGGTTTTAGGTTTGATCCCTGGTCCGGGAGTGTATGGGAGGCAACCAACCGATGTTTCTCTGTCACCTCAATGTTTTTCTGTCTCCCCTCTTCTTTCCTCTCTCTGTAAAATCAGCAAACATATTTTTAAAATTTTTTCAAAGATACCTTCTAAGAGGTGGACCTACTGAGTTGAATATGATTGATTTATAAAGCTCTCCATCTTCACTGCAGAATGGCACTAGAGAAAATGGACCCTCCAACCAGAGTGCTGGTTTCCCACATCCTTGTCACTATTGGGACTCCTTGGCAAGAACGTTTTTAAAACTCTAGTTTGCACGAGAAGGGCAAACAGCCCAGATATGATAAAATCAGAGCTTTGTGGGCTGAGTGGCCTTGTCTCAGGTCAGTGAAGAAAAGTGCTGGGACAACTGTTTCAGCCTTTCATGGGAAGGAGTGAGTTCCCTGTGTAGTATAGCGCAGCTCTTGCTAAGCTCACTTACTATAGCAGCTCTTTTCAACAGGCCATCGGATTATCTCCAGGATGACCATGTTTTCTTAGAAAAAAGGCAGTTTTACTTCCTTTTCAATGTGGATGACTTTTTTTTTGGAAGATTTTATCTACTTATTTTTAGACAGAGAGGAAGGGAGAGAGAAAGACAGGGAAGGAAGTATCAGCATGTGTGGCCTCTGGTTCGCCCCCTACTGGGGACCTGGCCCCCCAACTCAGGCATGTGCCCTGATTGGGAATCGAACCAGTGATCCTTTGGTTCGCAAGCCAGTGCTCAATCCACTGAGCCAACCAGCCAGGGCTCAATGGGGATGACTTTTATTGGTTGATACCTTTTCTCATTATCGGACTGTGTTTTCCTGCTTCTCTGCATGCCTGGTAATTTTAGCCTGGATGCTAGATATTGTGATTTTCCCTTGGGTGCTGGATATCCTTGTAGTCCTAGACATACTTTTTGCCGTCAGTAGTTCTGGATGCTGTTAAGTGACTTGGAAAGAGTTGGACCCTTTAGAGTCTGGCTCTGAGGGTTTGCTGTGTGGGCCCTATCAGAATGGGAGTCATCCCCCCCCCCGCCGCCCCCCCCACCCGCCCCCGGGCCACTACTGACGCAAAACCCTTGGGAGCGCCCTGCCCGATGCCTCCCAAATTGTGAGGGTTACCATCCTGGCTGGCGGGGACAGCCACCAGTCCCTGTCCAGCCTGAGCTCCCGGCATGGTTCCCTTTCATCCCTCCCGGTAGTTCTCCCCCGGCCTCATGTACTCCCCTCTCACGCTTGTGCTGAGCCGTGGTCTGCGGAATACTCCAGGGGACCCTCTGCGCTTAGGCAGCGTCCTCGCCCTGCGCCACGCTCTTCCCTGCGGTCCTCTACCTCGCTCACTCCAGGTGCTGAGAATTTCGGTTCCATCTCCCCATCTCCTCAACTCGGGCTGTCCATGGGGGCTCTGCCAGGGAACTCCCTGTCCGGACACTCGGCTGCGGCAAACGCAGGGCAGACCTCTCGTTTCTCAAGTCCCAGAGATCACTGCCCGTCATCACTTGATACCCGTCATCTTTACACCCTGCGTTTCATTCACTGTGTCTGGTTTTGGGGGGTTCTTTCAAGTGAGCGGCAGCGTAAATCCAGTCCCCGTTATCCATATGTGTGAACAGGGCCAGCCGTTGCAGAGCGTGCAGAACTCTGACGTGGTGAGCTGCGGGGAGAGAGCGGCTGATGCTGTCCCTGGGGTAATGGTGGAGGTGGTCATGATGAGGCCGACGAAGAATGTCCCCTGACAGCATGCAGCAGGAGGGTCCCTCCCCTCCCTCCCTCCCTCCTCCCTTCTTTCCTCCCTTCCTGTCTTCCTCCTTACCCCTGTTCCTCTCCATCCCTGGTCCTCTCTTTCTTGGTCCTTTTTCATTTTGTCCTTTCTTGATTCTTACTTTTTAGAGAGTAATTACCAATGAATAGAAGAGGATCTGGCTCTTTTCCA